GAACTTCCTTGCCTCCCTCGTGGCCTCGTCTGAGCATCCCAACCTCAGGCCTCGTCCACCTCCCGTCACACCCATACTAACTTGACCGTCAGAGTCTTCGCCTCGGGCCAGCACTCGGGGCCTCTAACGTTATCTCTCTCTCTACAGGTCTGACCTAGCAGCCTTTGGCCACAGCGGACCTCGGACTCATCAGTCAGCCCTCGGCTCAGAAACGGATTTACCTTGTTGCCCTCAACCCATCTTAGGTAGCAACAATTGGCGTCGTCTATGGGAACATCGCTAAGACTTCCCTCAACTAAACTTACACTCTAGAAACTTGTCTTAAAAACCTAACTGCTAATCTTCAGCTGAGATGGCAAGAAACACCAGGAATGTTCAGAACTTGGTCAGGATGGACCGATTCCAAGCTAGACTTGTTCATGGGCCGGGTAGCCTGATGGCCCGGCCCAGCCCGACCCGCACCCCGGCTGGGCTTGGTCATGTATTTAGGCTCGTGAGCTTGACCTTGGGCCTAACACAGTAAGCCCAACTGTGTTTTGGGCCGGGCTTGGGATTTGTCAAAAAAGCCCGGCCCGACTCAGTATTATATATTTTATAAAATATATAATATGTATTTTATATATTATATAAAATATATAAATAATATAATACTTATTAAAATATATATTTATAATTTAATATATATATTTTTTATTATTATCTTTATAATTTCAATCTCTCTCTCTATTCAACTGCTTCAACATTAATAATAGTAATAGCATATGCTAAATTTCGGGTCCGGGCCTAGGCTCGGGCTTCGGGCTTTTTATGAGGGCCGGGCTCGGGCCTTAGAAAAAATTATTAATACACAGTAAAAGCCCGGCCCGGCCCGGCCCGACCCATGAACAGGTCTGTTCCAAGCAGTCCTCGATCGGCTTGACAATCTCGCATAGGGGCTGGACAAGGTGGGGCACTCGGCAGGAGGCCACCCTCAAGGTGGTTGCCCCATTGGAAGCTTGGGGCACCATGGCAGACCAGTGTCTCCAAACCTGCTAGCAATTGGCCAAGTAGGATCCAATAGGGCCGATCCCTTAGAGTTCAACAATAGTTGACATGCTAGTCAGCTACTGAGGACCTCCCGACCCCCTAGATGATGGGGGGACAAATCAACACAGTTTCGCAATCACCACCGAGACCAAGGACACCGCCGCCAACGACAAAGGCCCCCAGGACAAAGGCGGGCGATTGGGCCACCATAGCCCCCCTTTTAGGGCCGAGGGTTGATGCCGTGCCTCTTCCTTTCGTGTCTTAGTCCTCCGAGACCTCTTGTATGAAAACACACTCGCATCAGAGTACTCGAGGAATCGGGACGAGGATGAGGCCTAGGCCCCCATTGACTAGAATCTTTACTACTAAGAACTTCCATGCCTCCCTCGTGGCCTCATTTGACCATTCCAACCTCAGGACTCGTCCACCTCCCGTCATACCAGTACTAACTTGACTGTCGAAATCTCTACCTTGGGCCAGCACCCAGGGCATCTGACGTTCTCTCTCTCTCCACAGGTCTAACCTACGAGCCTTCGACCATAGCGGACCTCAGACTCATCAGTCAGCCCTTGGCTCGGAAGCGGATTTACCTTGTTGCCCTCAAACCATCTTAGGCAGCAACAAGTTACCTAACCAGTCATCCTCTCCAAGCTACAAGGCGAAGTATTGTTCTAACTCTAGCAGGTTTGACAAGTAGGCTAAAGTATCTCCAACATCAACTTCTGGTTATTGAGAAAAAACTTGACCAATTAGTCGTTCCTTAAACCATTGTATCAAATCATCAACATTTTTCTTTATATGATATACCCAATGTTTTCAAACCACCATTGATCCGGATGGTTGGATCGTTTAGCCTAGGAACTATCCAGGCAACTGGTTCTATTTTACCCCAAACCCGGTCCCTGGCCAAAAACTGTTGAATTGGTCAGTGACCAGCTAACTCGGGAGGTCGAACTGTTGACCTTTTCAATAGTTTTGGCCATTTTTATTTTATTTTTTCGTTGGAATAGTATGTCTATTTGGACTGGACAGTCGAACTGTCGACCCAAAAACTGATGACCAGAACGGTTCCAGTTCTAGGTCGGTTTTTAAAACCTTGGATATACCCATTTAAATCCAATTATGTTCATATATATGTGGCTGAGGAGGTACCAAATTCCATGTTCCATTATTCATGAGGACATCAAAGCCCTCACCCTTGGTACACCTCCATTAAGCTAGCTTTTGCACCTGTGAAAACAAGCAGGTTCCACTAGATCATCAGTAGCAATACATGCACTATAGGGTATTTGTAGCAGTACATGCAATATAGCCTGAGAAACATGTGATTGGGACCTAGTAGTCTTGGAGTGAGATCGAACTGGTGGGAGAGCAAGTGGCGCATCATGCAATGGACTCTATAGAGCAAAACTTAGGCGGAGGGGAAGTTATTAAGTAGAGGAGAGGAATAAGGTATAGGAGGCTAATGGAAGGGGTGTCAATTGGACTGGTCCAATCCGATCCAATGAATATTTTGGACCATTTTGGACTAGTCCAATTTAATGTTTGGATCGTTTAATATGTGCAAACATCGGTGAGAAAGGCTATAACCCGTAATAGTTAAGAAGGGGATGGAATACTTTTTCATCAAAAACCACATCACGACTAATAATGATACAGTGGGATTCAAACATCGGTAACCATTGTGAGAAAGGCTATAACCAAGAATGGCTATGGTGATGAGTGATCATGCAAGGCATGAACTTCGTAGGGTGTGGCACTATATAAATCATGGTTTTTGAACCGTCGTTGATCCACACAGTCAGACCATTCGGCCCGGGAACCGTACAGGCAACCGGTTCTGTTTTACTCCAAACCCAGTCCCTAGCCAAAAACCGTTGAATCAGTCAATAACCCGTTGACCCGGGTAGTCAATCCATCAACCCGTTCAATGGTTTTTGACTTTTTTTAATTATTTTTTATTTTTATTGTTAGAACGGGCCATCCATTCAAACCGAACATTGGACCATCAACCTAGAAACCTGTGGCCAAAACAATTCCATTTGATGGTCTTTTTTTAAAACCATGATATTAATTGAGAATTGTAGTGGGCAGTGTATTTTTGAGGAGATCTAACAATGGTTTGTATGGCTTCATCCCAAAAGGTACGTAGTGGAAGAGAAGCCTTAGAGAGAGAGCATTAATTGCTATTTGCTAATGCAATTTCTTTGATGTGTCTACGTTTCTGCCAGTAAACCCCAATTTGACTGAATATTGTTTGATTTTGTAAGAAAAGAAACTTTCTACATAAACCTTGAAACGAAAGAAAATAGAGTGCATCAAACTTGTATAATATTTAAAACCATCATGTGTGATAGGGGCAGGCCCCCCAAACCATCAAACTGCAGTTGGATAATTGACAACGAAGACGAACTGAAGATGTATCATTATAATAAGAAGTACTAAGACTAGAAAGAGAACTTGTTGAAAGGTCTTCAAAGCAGGATGACCAAGATGATAATGTCAGAATGAAAGAGACTCTTTAGCATCAAGGAATGCAGACTTAGAGAAAGGAGTGCATCGGGATGAGAAGTTGATATAGAGGCCTAGGGGTGTCAATTGGGCTGGATTTGGTCCAATGTGATTCCATTATAAATGGATCAGGTTCAATCCAATCCAATGAATATTTTGGATTAATTTGGACCCGTCCAATTCAATGTCTGGACTGTACAATCTGTTTAAATTCATTTTGATTTAGATTGGTTTCAACCCAAACCCACTCGATTGACACATATATTAATTCTTATCTTATATCAATGTATCAGATGTTGGCTTAATCCAGCTCAATCCAACTTAATAAATATGTTGGACTAGATTGGTCCAATCCAAGATGTCTTGTTAGTTTGTCCAATCTGTCCAAATTGATTTTGGACTGGATGGGATCCAATCCAAAGCCAGTCCATTGACACCTTAGATAGAGCCCATCTTTATAGAGATTTTGCATTAAGAGAGGAATTAAAAATGCCCCGAGCATCGATCAAGAATGGTGAAATTCAAAGAAGCAATTATTATCACATGCAAATTGACCAACATAAAGAAAGGAAATATCAAAACATCTATAACATGTGGAAGCTGTATGAGGTAGACCACCTCGCCCAACAAGCTAGGTTTGCAGTTGGAGAAGCATAGGGAGAGAAAGAGATCAGTACGTTGTTGCAACCATGTACCCATGGTTTGGTTTCTAAGTAAGCCACGCAGATCATCAATTAATGGTTAATTATAATGATAAAAAATCGGACTTGGTAGTAATTAAAGATAATGAAAGAATCATAATTGGTACCCAAATTAATTATTCATGTAAATTAAGTAGAGAGAAGAAGGTCACGAGGGTGAAAGATATCTTATTCAACAAGATTTGAAAAGTGGTTATTGAAGGAGATGGACGATAAAACCAAAGAATATGATGGACGATTAAACATAAATTCTTAGAATTAATAAAGTTTGTTTAAATTAAATTTGCTAAAGAGAGTCAAATGATTTATCCAATCTTCTTCAATCTTTAATGGAGATGGTTTTTAAAATGAGTTATATAGCCATTAAGAGAAATGCTTGAAACAAATTAATGAGCTTTAGGTTGTATTTGGATGTGATGTAAGTTAAGGGTTCGGTTTTGTATGCATTTGGAAAGAGGGTGTAATTAATATTGATGTAAAGTATACTCTCGCTCAATTTTGTGTTTATTTGGATGAAGTGTAGTTTTATGTCGACAATCGATGCAAAATCCCATTAATTTTAAAGTTTTATATCGATAATCAATATAAAATACATCAATTTTATCGATGTAAAACTTTACATTAATGATGTTTTATGCTGATTCCAAACGCAGCTTAATTTGTAGCCAACACAAGTACCTTTAGAGCTGGCCTAAAGTCAAAACTTGTCAAGTTCAAGAAAAGGCAAATGAAAGAGTCAAATACCATGAAATTACAGTCGAGTAGTAGAAGGCTTCCGATCCCTTTATTAATTATTTAATTTACGTTACACTCCATTTTCTTTTCTATTAATGCTACAGTACTAGAGTACTGTTCATTCAATTTCCCTGTGAATGCAACTTCATAGAGATCTCTGTTAGTAATTAATTACTGTATTCTAACAAGTAAGGTTGTCACCCGGCGACACACCGAGTTTCTTACAGTAGTCGGTGTAATACCTAACTCGAGCCTGAACAGCGCCGGAGTTTCTTCCTCCACATTCACCGCCATTAATGGCTCTTATCGTGGCGCCGAATCCTTGTCTCATGACCGAATGGACATTGTTCATCCAGAACCAGAATGCAGTCTTGAAAGACACCACCACGTCCTTAGCCACAGTCTCCGGAGCATTCAGACCGTTGAATCCGATGCTCTGTCCGGCAGGTCCGTAGTTGTAGTTCCAGGATATTTGGATCGGACCACGGCCGTAATATCCTTTGCCCGGAACGCATGGATACTGCGTGTTTCTCTCGTCACAGTAGTCCTTTGAGGCACCATCGATCTCTTCTATGTAGCAGAAGTCTGTACGTACGTAGACCCAGAAAAGATTTAGATTTGAAAGACAAATTAATCAACTCAGTAACAGAGTTGCAGAGAATTGAGGAAACTTACGTCCAGTCTCGTGTGTGACATGTGCAAAGAAAGCAGCAATCTCGCGCTTCGAGTCATCGGCGGAGCCATCCTGAGCGAAACGAGGGTAGGAATTAAGGGCGTTAAGAAAGGCACCTCGGGTGTAGAAGTTCTTGCCTGCGCAACCGGAGGCCGCTTTGCCGATTATTCCGTTGA